GTACCGTTTTCAATCTTAAAATTAAAATCAAATTCGTCCAACTTTTTAACAAAAACCAAATTTCTAGTACATTCAGGAACATAAAGACAGTTTTCTAGATCTATGCAATAACTAGTATTCAATATCAATCTGTAAGTTCCTATTCCTTCTATCCGTGCCTTCATTTTGTTCCCTATGTACAAGAACTTTTCAGTTCCACTTATAGGCTAGATCGAAAGAAATTCCTGCATTCATATAACACGAGTAGTTGCACCAGAATCTAACCACCAGGTGTTTTTAGGTACCTCAATAGGATTTTATTCAAAGCATACTGAAACATAATATATACCTTTCTTTTCGAACTAAACTTTTCTCTTCTGACAATCTTTCTTGAAGTGGCAAGCCTTCTTGCAGAAGAAGCATCTATGGCCCTTCTAGATTTTGTAATGCCTTATATTTCTTTTTTGAATATATGATAAATTTTTATAAAAATTTAAATAGTAAAGTAAATTTTCTTTCAAAAACTCTCGAATGAGAAAGAAACAATGAAATGATATAAGGTTCATAGAGTAAAATTTCATTAATTTATGAGTACTTTTAAAAAAACATAAATTCTAAAATTTTCATCAGCAACAAAAAGTAGTAGTGTTACAACTGTTTCAAAATAATGCTATAGAACTAAAAGTATCTATTACATAATTCAAAATAACTAAGTCCTATAGCAGTTCTCATCCATCCATGTACTGTGAGCTTGGTACTATTCGTCTTGGTCTCCTGAAAAATGTTGTGTAAGGGTGAGTCTCTACCTTACCACTCATACATAACACATATTCATCACAATACACATCTTATCTCGATTAAAGAAAATATCATGGCATTATATATCACAGTGTCGTATAAAGCATGTTCTCATCACAACACATATTATATTCCACAGATTCACAATTTCTTTTTCTTTCTTTTATCTGCGCTTATCACGCCCTGTGGCCACAATTATCCGATGCCTCTATCCTGAGGTCTTACACATCCATGTAAATAGTCGTCAGATGGCCCAATGCAATACAGATACAACACATGCAATAGACAACTCCTTAGCAAAGGTAATAGTCAGAAGTCAAGTCAAAAAATGAGTGTGCGACCATGTGGTGTATTCGTACACAATATTCCGTGCACAATTCTAAATGTCACTCACTACCCTGCATTTTTTCAAGATATCCCATATCGTTTCCATCTTCCACTTCCAGTGTATCTCTGTAACTATTCACATCATATCCTTTTCTATCTCATATTCTTTCAAGTACATTCACATGTTCACATATGTCATTTCTCATGTTCACACATATTTTTCATTATATTTCCATATATTTTTCTTCATATACATCAAACTCTGGCATATTCACAATACACATCATTTTTACATGAAACACAATATATTCAAACATAAAACATCCATCTCTTTGTATATTTCATATCATAAAATCATATCAACCATCCTCAATATACCTTATCATGCCCTATTTGAACATAATATCACATTTTTACCATGTATTCATCATAAAATCATATAAACAGCCAATTATTCTCACTTTTCATCGATTATTTCTCATAAAACAAGGATTATTCCACATATAATCACATACATGACAAGATCTATGAGAATACAAGTAATAAACATAACAAAATGATAAAGTAGAGCTCCCTTACCTTAAAACAAAGCTTTTACAAAGATTTAACCGAATATTTTAACTCTAGAACGGAATTTTTTCTAAGAACATCATGAACATCTATAAGAAAAAGAAGAAGAAGAGAAACGAATGGTAAATCTAACTTCAAACTTAGAGAAACTTACTTGAAATCCTTTAGAACAGACGTAGAATCACAGATCTAAAGAGAAATCTAAGTTTAGGAGGGTTTAATATGAGATAAAATGGTGAGATATAGCCTTAGAACCTTTGAGAACCTTGGATAGGAGTAAAAAAATGAAAATTTCGTGTGAAACTCCCTTTTTATAGAAAATTTTCAAAATTTACTGTTCATCGTCGGAAACACTGTTCACTACCTTACTATTCACGCTGGAAACACTGTGCACGCGTATTGTATATGTACTGACAGCCATGACGTCATGATGATGTCAGTAATGATGTCATCGGTCACTATACATAGGTGGTTTCATTGTTCATACGCGGTTTTACTGTTCATAGGCGATTTTACTGTTTATCGACATTGTTCATAAGCGCTTTTACTGTTCACATTTTTATTTTATTTTTTTATATATAAATTTTATCCAAATCTATTTCAATTATATTTTAATAAACCTCATTTTATTTAAATCAAAGTGCAGGATGTTACAGATTTGGCCTTCATGAACCCTTAATAAGGCCTTATCCTTCTTGTCTTTTTTACTTGGCTTAGCCTTGCTACTATTAGCCCCTTCATGAAATGTGAGATGCACGGAGTGTTCTTTCACCTTCTTTAGCCTTCCTTCCTCCAGAACCAGCATGACCTTAATCTCCTGTATCTTCCATTTATCCTTAATGGTGTTATAATTCACCTGAAACTAACCAAACTCAGGAGCGAGTGAGTTTAAAATGAACTGTACTATAAAGAATTCATTTACCTCCATGCCCATTGATTTCAACTTTCCAGCTTGATTGATCATGTCAGTCACATGGTCATGAATAGGCCATGACCAATCAAACTTCTTAGTAGTGAGTTCAGTCAACAGGTTACCTGAAACGGACTTGTCAGTAATGTCTGATTGTGCATACTCTTTTACCTTTGCCATAAATTCTCTAGCATTTTCAGTCTTTGGCATCGATGGCTTCACATTTTCAGCCATAGTCATTTTTAGCAAGCTCACGCTCAGCCTGTTCGACCTTTTCCAAGCTTCATGAAGACTTTCCTCTTTAGTACTGGTCTCTGTGATGGCTGTAGGCTCTTGTTCCATAATGATTGCTAGGTCTAAGTCCATAACACCTAACTGAAATCGAACTTGTTCAGCCTAATCATCATAATTGAGCCCAATGAACTTGACTACGCCATTGCTCATGCTATACGTATTCATAGGGACTGAATCCATTTAATACATGCTTAAACATTTATGCTTTGAATAAACTTAATAGATTCAAACAGCCAACCATTATCAATTATGCATCTAAGTTTACCTTTGGGTAATGCCTAAATACATAATTTATCTATAATGATACTAATAAACAACTTTAATCGACAACCAGTCACTCAAACCAATATGCAAGTCATCTTTGGATATACAAACATATTATGAAGTGCTTGCACGTCTCCTTAATGTCATTAATTATATGCAATGATCCACCTTTGGGCGATCTCCTAGCGTTATAATTAATGAGCTAAATTGTTCACCCTTTATGTTATCATATAGCATCAAACAATTTTGAACAATTTACAACATACAATTAAATGCTTAAAGAACTTTTAAAGCCAGCCCACTTTGGTGACTAACAAGTTACCCTTAAAATTAAGCATTAAATTATAAAGTTCTCATTATGATAATGTAATTTAGAATTAATTAACTTGAGAATTTAATCACCTTGGTGAGTAAAATTCACTTTGATGTAATTCTAAAATTATCTATATATTTTATGAATTATATTCCTTATTCTGCCGTAAAATTACTATGCATAGCTGTACTTTTACTTGATGCATGGCCGTGCTTTGATGAAGCAAGGTCATGCTCATTTCTGATGCATGCCCCTGCTTCCTGAAGCATGTCGTGCTTCTTGATGCATGGTCGTGCTTATAATTGATGCGTGACCGTGCTTCCATTATGCAAGGTTGTGCTTCATTGAAACATGACCGTACATGTTCCTGATGCGTGGCCCTGCTCCCTGATGCATAACCCTGCTCACTGATATATAGCCCTACTCATATTACAGATTCAAAATCCAATGTTTCTGACTTCCAAAACTTTAGGGTTTTCAATTATTGAATTCAAAACAATTATTTAACATCAAAATTATGTCAATCCATCATATAAAATACCTAGGGTTCATATAATTTGGGAAAAACTTTAATGGAGAATCAATCTCTTATAGAGAATCAATGAAATTCACAACTTGACTCTGATACCAACTGTTAGAATTTTCTTAATCCATTATGTAATTTTCATTATGCAATGAGTATTATGAAATTACTATTTCCTATTAGATCTTAAATTACCTTGTTCTCACAACACAGTACATGGTTCTCATACAATTAAGGGTTTAGAGAGCACTAACCTGAATCCATTGTTCCTTGATGTTACCTCTCTCTTTGATGTCGTTGATTCCTTTGTATCTTTTCCAACTCTTCCTTCCTCTTTTAGCTCCTCTATGATAGTTGAGAAAGTTCCTTTCTTGCATTTATTGTGAACACACTTAGAAATTGTGAAAGTGATAGAAAATAGAGAATATTGTGACCCCTATTTGATAACCGCTCTTTTATTTATCTAAAAGGAGAAGAGAGAGTTTCTTTATAATTGTATTTATAATTATATCCTCTATAACTCTATATTTTATATTTAAGCATCATCACATTAAATCATTAATTAGAATCATGCTATAAGTTACATAAATCACAATAATAAAATTATTAAATAATCTAACAATAAAAGCACACGGGGACATCGATTGGAGAATAGAATAGCTGAGCTACTTGCACTAAGATGATTTGCTTATCTTTACGGGACCAGATGGAAGTGCAGTAGTGGCTGCAAGGCAACGAGTAATCATTTTCATTTGTGCTATAGCTTTGTCCACCTACGCCTAATAAAATAGCATATGAATGGAAACATTATATTTTAGGTATTTTGATAATGAACTGGTTGAAAATTTTCCTCCAGGAATCTTCCAACTATTCTAAACGACGTAATGGTCAATTTCTTGGTCAAAGCATTCCTTTGTTACGTTTCCAAATAATATAATAATAATAAGTGGCATAGCCAATGATTCTGTAATATGAAGTTGAAAAATGTCGTATCCGGCCAATTAATGTGTTTCATAGAATCTTGACTTTTAAAGAGCTTAATGTGTACAAACTCTTTCTTTAAATACGACCATATGTAGACTCTCTTTTCATCACATCTAGAGTAGAAGCCAACACTGTGTTTTACTCAGTTAAGACTCCTTCATGGTAATGGTGTTGTTCTTTTCAGTACAAATGCAATTCTAATTCGGTGGTTGATCTTTTCATTGAAGGTTTTCAGAAATTAACCCTTTACATTTTCAGGATGATATTCTTATCAAACAAGCTTTAGTATTGAAGGAAGTTAAGCATGTATTCCAGAAACTTGTTAGCGAGGATCCCATGGAGAGTTTGTATATGGTTGACATCATCCAAAGGCTTGGCTTTGAACACCATTTTGAAGAAGAAATTGAAACCTCTCTTCAGAAGCAACATTTAATATTTAGCACTCATCTCAGTGATTTTGCCAATAACCATAAACTTTTTGAAATTGCACTTCAATTCCGTTTACTTAGACAAAGAGGCTTTTATGTTCATGCAGGTTGAAATTTTCTTCGTAAACTGTTGACCAAATATCATTGTTGAACTACAATCTCTAATATGACAAACATTAATGCATACATAAAAAAATAGAAATAAATATACTATAAAAATTTACCCCATACCATGAACTGGTAGTCATATTCAACTGCCCAACTCTGTATCCATTGAAGGAGTTTGTTACTAAATTCTCACTACCAACTATAATGGGTGTGCAGATGTATTTGACAGCTTGAAGAGCAACAAAAGCAAGTTTATAGAAAATTATGGTGACGATGTTAAGGGTCTCATTGCCCTGTATGAGGCAACCCATCTAAGTATTGAAGGAGAAGATAGTCTTGATGATGTAGGGTACCTCAGTTGCCAACTTCTTCGGGCGTGGCTGACTACACATAAAGAACATCATGAAGCTATATATGTTGCAAACACTCTTCAGCATCCACTTCATTATGGCTTATCAAGATTCAGTGACAGAAACATATTTCCAAGTGATTTCAAGACAAAGAAAGAATGGACCTGCTTAGAGGAACTTAATGAAATCAATTCCCACATAGTTAGGTTCATGAACCAGAATGAAATCATACAAGTTAACAAGTAAGGTTCATTATCATGACTAATAGTCGAATAATATTATGCCTCTAGAAGTCATTTGCTGATTTTTGGTTGGTTATTTAAATATTATAACTACTAATTTTTTCTATTAACAGATGGTGGAAAGACCTTGGAATGGCCAAGGAGGTGGAGTTTGCTAGGTATCAACCTTTGAAATGGTACATGTGGCCCATGACATGCTTTACTAATCCACGGTTTTCAGACCAAAGGATTGAGCTCACTAAACCTATCTCTCTAATCTACATTATTGATGACATTTTCGATGTTTATGGAACATTAGACCAGCTCACTCAGTTTACAGATGCCGTTAACAGGTATTTTAAATACTCTTCTCCTGGCATCTATTTTTTTGTTTCAATTCTAGTATTTGAAAAACGAAAATTAAAACTGTTTATCATATTATAGTTATAGATGATTGTTTTTATCTCTTACTTTTTTTAATATAGGGACAACTAAAAGGTTGTCTCCAAAAGATGTTGATAAAACATTTCTGTTTTTATTTTCTTAAAAGACCAGAACCTGAGGCGAGTTATAAATCTTCATTATTTATTTGTTATGTTTAATAAAATTTCAAATACTTATAAAACTAACAATGATAAATATGTAATAATTCTAAATTTTTAAAAAATACTGGACCCCATGTCCGGATCCATGCAACATAGTTGTGGATATAATAAACATATGGGGTCAAACCATTTTAAATTGAACGTGATTTTCTTATTTGATGTTCTTAGATTACGAGTATTTATATAAACAGTAGTATTCACATCGATCAACGATAAATAAAGTCAAAGTACACGTGATATTTTCCTTTTTCTGCTTTTTCTACTTTTTTTTCCTTTGTGGTATTCAACTCCACTGAACAAAGAATTGACCTTTCGATTCAGATGGGAATTGGTTGGCACAGAGCAACTTCCAGACTTCATGAAAATTTGTATAACTACTCTTTATGACTTTACCAATGATTTCGCCATGAAGATCTACGAAAAGCATGGATTGAACCCTATTGATACCTTAAAAAAATCGGTAGAGCCCATTTATTTTTATTACTTCAATTATTTTGTGTGATTGTGTACATGTTTTCTTGAATCCACCGGGTAAATTTAATAGAGGGTTTTGCATGAAACAGTGGGTGCTATTATTGAATGCCTTCTTAGAAGAGGCACATTGGTTGAAATCTGGTCATTTGCCAACGGCGGAGGAGTACTTGAACAATGGAATTGTGAGCACAGGAGTGCATGTGGTGCTTATCCATGCATTCTTCCTCTTGGATGAGAGTATAACTAAGGAAATTATTGCCATCATGGATGACTTTCCAGATATTGTACACTCAGTGGCAAAAATTCTTCGTCTTTGTGATGATTTGCAAGGAACTAAGGTAAAATGGAGGTCTATTATATAATTTATTAACATTGAATACATCTTTGTTTGTGGGTCAACATGTGTGAACACACAGAATTTCTACAAACTTATGTTGCAGCACGGATACTTACAAGCATACAAGTAAGAGAAAAAGAAAAAGAGAAGTTAAGAAGAGAATCACCCCTTTTTTTAGATAAATTTTTGTAATAGAAGAAAAATAATCTGAAATATGAATAATTTTTTTTGCATAAATTATAATTTATTATTTTAAATTTTAGAACTGTTAAATAAGAGTAACTTAAAAAAAAATAAAAAATTTTAATTTATGAAAGAAATTTTATTATTTTTTATATTGTTTTACTTTTCTTACAGTGATTTATCCATAAGTTTATTTAAATTGGACTAATAAAATTAATGAGCAATTGAAAGAGATAAAAAAAAATAATTAATGTTATTAAAAGAAAAAAATTATTTAAATCAAATTTAAAAATTTAAAGATAAAATTAAAACTTTTAAAAATTAAAGAATTTCAGAAAAAAATGAAAAATTAAAGATATAATTTTTCCTTACTTTTATTATAGTAAAATCCCATGCTTACATCATTGATAAAGAATTAGTATCCGTTAATATTAACCTATAAGATTATTGAAATTAACAAAAAAAAAAAAACAGCAATTTTTCTTAATAAAGAAAATATTTGTGATATTTTTCAATATAAAAAATAATTCATTTGAAAGAAAAAAAATCATCTGAAGTTGCTTAAAATCAATTATTTTAACAAAACTTATAAAAAATTGACTAAAATTATTTACTAGAACTAACATTGAATTTCATTATTGTATGCTAGTAATATATGTACACTCTACCAAAATTTACTGACACTCCCTATGATATCCATAACACTTTTCATTAAGGAGACAATTTTATCTCTTTCGGGCAAATGCTGATCAACGATATTAGCTGAGGAATTAAGAGAGAAAATCTCATTAAAAAAATATTGATTTCATTTATCAGAAATAAGTACGGAATTTATTAAAATTAATAAAAATAATTATATATCATAAATATATATTCTATTTTAAAAATATTCATATTATTAATTAATGTTGTAAATATTAAATGAATAAATATGTTTTTTTAATATAAATAAAAGGTAAATAATTTATTAACACAAATCCTACAAGAAATAAGGGTATAAAAAGAATCTAATAATTAATATATTTAAAAATAGGCGTTTTTTTTATTTTAAACAAAAATATGGGCAGTTATTTTTTTTTATACATAAGATTAGAAGTAATTATTATTAATTTATTTCTTTTACGATTTTTAATGCATTTCAATATAATTTTTGATAAAATAATTTTATTTTTAAAATATTAACTAGTGCGCTTAAGACATTGTTTAGTAAATTTGTTCTAATGAAGAGACAGTGTCATCTTGAACCATGTTATAGGATATTCCAATTTGATTGATACTTAAAAAATTTTGGAATTTCATGACATTTGTATATTTTATACAGATAAAATTTAGATGTAGTGATCTTTAAGTATTATTTTAATTGTTAGTAAATTTATTTCAGTGACTTGTAATAAGTTTAAATATCAATCTTTATTATAAAAATCATGTAGATAAAATTGTAATTTTTTTATTGAAAAAATAACAGACAAAAAAAAAAAAAGAGTATTTGTTCCTAAGTTTCGTCTATCTTGTCTTGTGTGTATGGATTGGTATGAATGTATGTTGTTGCAGGGTGAAGATCAAAAGGGTATCGATGGGTCTTACCTTGATTGCTACATGAATGAACACCAAGATGTTTCAGCCGAAGATGCTCAAAGTCATGTTGCCCACTTGATTTCAAGTGAATGGAAACGTCTCAATCGGGAAATGCTAAGGCCAAATCCATTTCCATCATCATTTACCAATTTCTGCCTCAATGCTGCCAGAACGGTACCTCTAATGTACCACTACGGTACCAATCCAAGCCTCTCCAATCTACATGAACATGTACAAATGTTGCTTAATGTCGATAACCTATAGTTATGGTCAAGATTTGCTTCAGGAATAATTAGAGTTACTTTCCTTTTGTAATTTGTAGTTCATCATAACATTATTATTCAGTATTGTATTCCACGTGAACTATTAAATGAATAATAGTTAATATTCTGCAAAGCTTAGCTTGTAGCGGGTGTGCCAATTGGTTTTCCCAAGTTTCACAATCTCCTCTGAAACCATGGAGGAATGAAAAACCTTGAGAAACAATAATGAATGCTTAGGCAGAGCTTATTTTATTTATCGACTTACACGTTGCTATATATAGAAAAGTGACTCAAACGGAAAACTACAAAACATTATTATAAAAATACGAACTTTTAATAAATGAATCTATTCTAAGTTATAATTTTTAAAATGTAATTTGAATGAGTTTCTAAATACAAACTAACTCAAATAGTACTGGAAGTTTACTTTTTATGGAAAAACGGTTCTGTTTTGATAATGAAATAATTTGCAAGTTATGAGGCATGCGTAAGCCAAGTTGTTCGCAAGTGATTTCAAGGATGTCCTGTTTCTGTATTTTAACAGGTTTATATGTAATTTTGTAAATTGGCTCAAATGATTTTATAGGTCAACTTAAAATGAAATCTGTATTCTTGTATTTAAAAAAATTAAATTAAAATATATACTTTTTTTTATGTAAATAAATGGGTTTGCAAATTCATATAGTACCCATTCAATTTACAAATATAATTAATTTGAATAAAATTAATTTTAAACTGTTGAATTGATTGAGGTATACACATAAATTAATACTTTTATTAAAAAATATAAAATTAACTTCATAACTTTAAGACAAACAAGAGTAACTCAGGCTTAATTTTTTAAATACAAATTCATGTAAGTAGCAGGATACCCACATCCAATGCCAAGTTGGGTATAATCTCTAATATACGACCACCCTCCCTCAAAATAAGCAATTTAAGTATATTTTCAGTCTTTAAAAATTTATTATCATATTAATTCTTATTCAAATTTCATTTGTTTTTGTAATTATAAAACACTACATTTTTAATTAATCCCCGTTCCCAAAGATACGCAAATTCTTATATTTTTTAAAAACTAAGATAAATAAAAAATGTTTTAAAAAAATCATATTTTAAGAGATTCAACATATTTAAGCAAAAAGAAAATTTGAAAATTTGAGTCTGAAAGGCCATATTCTCACTGAACTGTGCCATTGTAGTTTGAGTCAACAATCCCAAACTGGAAATGCCAAAGGCGTGACCTAACAAATCACATCAAAATGCACATGAAATGTCTTTCACCTATCGATGTCATTTGTAATTGTATTTTATAGCAAAATAATTATAATTCATTGTCACATTCTGTTACGAAGATTCGAACGAGTAAAAGACACACTTAAGTTAAGTGGCCAAACAGAACGTATTTCAATCTGTCATAAGAAACACGCCTGAATTGATTCAACCTTGGACCATAAAAAAGTTATTTAAAACACACCTACTTTCTCTTTCTTCTCTTGTCTCTTACATGAGATTCACTAACATAATTCTTAAGTTACAAGGCCTTGAATTGAAGCACAATTGTTCAATTCCTGTTTCTTCTCCCTTTCCCCGAAACCCTATTGTTTTGTTCTCCACTAATGGAGTATGAAGATGAAGATCAGCTGTGTGTTAGCATGGAAGAGTTTTCTCTATCAGATGAAAATGGAAGAAGCAAGGGAAAGATTAGTAGGAAGAGTAACGATGATGACGACACAAGAGAGTACAAATCCAAGAACTTTGAGACTGAAAGGAGGAGGAGGGAAAGGCTAAGTAGCATGCTCTTGATGCTGCGCTCTTTAGTACCTAATGCAAACACTTAAAGCCCTCACCTTCTTACTTGGTCCTTACTTTATTCAATATTCAGTTTCATGGATTAGTTTATGTTGCAGTGATTGTTGGAATATAAAGTGATTATAAAGTATACTTTTTTATTTCAGATGAACACAGCAAGCATTATTGAAGATATTATCACCTACATCGAGAAGCTGCATGACGAAGTGCACAATCTCAGGCAGGAGCTTTTTCGTGAAATTGATGCTGTTGAAGATAGGAAGAATTGGGAGATACAGCTATAAAGTCCTTCCTTTATTGGAATTAAATGAATCGTGTTGAAAGATGCATTAGGATCACTCAGTGTCTCTATATATTACAGTTACTAATATGTTATGTTAATTATCTACATACATGTCTTTCCTCTTGCTCCTCCTCTGGATATAGCCCAAAATTCAGAGGCAGAACCACGTAAATCTCTGAGTGAATCTCTCTCTCGAGCACAACTCTCTCTCGCATGTTATTGTAATGTTTTGTTGATTATGTTTTTCTTCTATTTGTATTTCAATTTCTTGATCATAATCACAATAAACTGGCATCTAGAGCACTGGTCTAATAGAGAATTCAGTTTTAACCTTCTCTGATCAAGTCTAGTTCTCCAAGCTTGTTCTTCTATCTTTCGCTGTAAATTGTGTTCAAGAAACGTCCAAGAAACAATATCTAACACTATCAGGGTCGAGAAATTCAATGGAAAGAATAGCTTCAATCTGTGGAGGATCAAAATGCATGCCTTGTTGAAGCAACATGTTTGGGGGCCTTTTGCATCTCTTTCTGTAAAGAAAGAAATTGCTTCGGACTCAAAAGAAAAGGTTGATGTTGCCAAGATTCAAGATCTTGCAAAACAAGAAGAAAAGGAACATTCGTTGATTCTGCTTTCATTGTTTGATGAAGTTTTATATGAGGTTGTTGATGAGGAAACTGCAAGTGGATTGTGGCAGAAATTGAAAAAGCTGTACATGACCAAGTCAATCTGCAACAAGCTCCTCTTAAAGCGTTGCTTGTTTAATCTCTATGTGAAAGAAGGTAAACCTCTTAAGGAATATTAGATGAATTAAATTCTATCTTAATGGAATTAAGAGATATAGATGTCAAGATTGAAGATGAGAATGCAGCTATGATTCTGTTGGGATTTTTACCATCAGGAGTTTTGTAAGTTCTCTAAGTGTTGGTAAGAAATGCATCACCATGGAGGAGGTAAAATCTAGCTTGCATTTTAGGGAACTTAGGTTCAAGGCTTTTGGAAATGTAGAAGAGAAATGGTGTAGGGCTTATAGTTTCTAAATTTACCAAGGTTGGCAAGAATAAGAAAGACAATAATAAGAAGAAAATCAATGTCAATCCTAAAGACATTTCCAATTATTGCAAAGAGCTAGGACATTGGAAGAAGGACTGTCCTAAGAAGACAGAAAAGAAACCTTCAGCTGCTGTTATTGAAGAAGGTTCCTCATCTGAAAGTGAGCTTGTGCTCTCTATTGTTGATCATCATCAATAAGCTACAGATCAATGGATTCTAGATTCTGGTTGCTCTTTTCTTATGTGTTCAAACAGAAGTTGGTTTCATACATATGAGAGCAAATAAGGAGAAACTGTTTACATTAGAAATGACGATCCATGTAAGACCATTGGAATATGTACTATTCGGATCAATATGCATGATGAAGTAATAAGGACTCTTACTAAAGTGAGGCATGTTCCAAAGTTAAAGAAAAACCTTATTTTTGTGTTTGTTATGGATGGAAAAGGCTTTAGGAGCACTACTAAAAATGAGATTATGGAAGTTAAAAGGGGTTCAACAGTTGTGATGAAGGGTGTTAAGAAAGGTAATCTCTACATGCTTCAAGACACAACCTTTGTTGACTTAGGATCAATTTTTGTTGCTTCCAAAACTGATAAGGGCATACCAGATCTGACTTACCTTTGGCACATGAGGCTAGGTCACATGAGTGAAAAAGGTATGATGCTCTTGAATAAACAAAATCTGCTTGGTGATCTAAATCTGGAAGATCTCAAATTCTATGAACATTGTGTCTATGGCAAGCAGTATAGAATCAAGTTTCCTAAAGCAATTTCTACCACAAAAAGAATTCTTGTTATGTTCATTCTGACTGCTGGGGACCCTCTAGAGTACCTTCACTTGGAGGAGGAAGGTACTTCCTCTCCATTATTGATGACTATTCTAGAATGACATAGATCTACATCATTAGTCATAAGAATCAGGCTTTTAAATACTTCAGAGAATGGAAGGTTTTGGTTGAAAACCAAACTGGAAAGAAATTAAAGAGACTAAGAATAGACAATGGACTTGGTTTTGCTTAACAGAGTTCAACAAATTCTGCAAAGAGGAAGGTATTACTAAAGAATACATAATTAGAAACACTCATCAACAGAATGGAGTTGCTAAAAGAATGAATAGGACTTTTTTGAAAAAAGCAAGATATCTGTCATCCAATGATGGTCTAGATAGAAGTTTTTGAGGTGAAACTATCAACACTGCATGTTTTCTAATCAATAGATCATCATCCACTATCATAGGATTTGAAACTCCTATTAAGGTATGGTCTACCAAACCTACAAACTATTCTATTCTTAGAGTCTTTGGTTGTAATGCATACTATCATGTAAATGAAGGAAAATTAGTTTCTAGATCTAAGAAAGGATTGTTTATAGGATATAGTGAGAGGATGAAAGAGTATAGAATCTGGTCACCGTCTGAAAGGAAGGTCATTTTTAGTAGAGATGTTATCTTTGATGAGTCATATTTGTTTCACCTGAAATTGGAGATTTCTATTTCAAGAAAAGATAGCAAAACTTCTAAACAGGTGGAGGAGGAGCCTAACTCAAACAATGCAATGTCAAACAAAGCATTTGAATTATCTCAAGGTGAAGGAAAATATGAAGATATCAACATTGATAGTTCACATCAGAATGATACAAGTGGTTAAGAAAAAGTTGAATTTGAAGCATATCAAAGACTATAAAGAAAAAGGAAACCCCCTGAGAAATACAGCTTTGAAAACATGCCTACTTATGCTCTGATTACAATTGAATAAATAGACTCAAGTGAACCTGCTACCTACAAAGAAGCAATCAATCACATAAATTCTGATAAGTGGATCCTAACAATGAAAGAAGAAATGGAATCACTGTAGAAGAATCAAACTTGGA